GTTATTATTATCTGTTAAATTATTGTTATCAACATTGCTATTGGTGTTATTCTTTCTCGTTCACATTTTCCAACATTTTCTGTCTTGAAATTTTCGATGATTATAACAGAAAAGAAATTCAACGTTTAACTTTTGTCATCTATTGTCAGTTATTTCTGAATAATTTGATAACGATCAAGCATTGATAATTCATTATTTTATCGAAACATTGCTCGATTCTCTCATCTATTTATTCAGAAACTGTCGCTCGATATTTATACAACAATTTAATAAAAATTATTAAAACTTCAAATTTTATTTAAATCGGTCATTACTTATATTTTTCAGATTTTTGATATTATTCAATCAAATTTCAAAATTTTAAAAATATAAACTGAATAGTACTTAAATTTAAATTTAAATATAAAGACTCAAATAGTGTTTCCAAGTTTAGTTGCAAATTTAATTGCTTTAAATTAGTTCATATATTTTTATTTGATGTTTTATTATTATCACTATTACTACTGATAGTAATACTTTAAATCATGAATTTTTGTTTCATATTTATGCAAGAATATTAAAAACTAATTAAAGCGATATTTACAAAATATTTTGCTTGTTGTGAATACATTTTGGGATGCATTCAAAAAACTGCAATGAATTTTTCATAAATATTTAATTTACTTGTATATTTATGTGATTGTCTACAATTTTTTTACTTATTTCAAAGTACAGTACTATTTTTGATTACAGAAATTTGCCAAACACCATATTGCTTTCTTAATACAACACACGTGAACTAATTTTTGATCATTTTCGGAAGTTCATCCGACTTGACCTAATTTGATCAGAGTGATTTGCATATTTGAAAATGGATAATTCGATCAGTCCAAATGGTACTACTTCAGCTACAACCTCTCCCAATGATACAACTGATTTTTGTGTAGTTTGTGGTGATAAGGCTATCGGAAAGCATTATGGTGCGGTTGCTTGTAACGGTTGCAAAGGATTTTTTCGTAGAAGGTAATTTGCATACTTTGAATAGCAAATGTTTAAATATATTTAACAAAAAATATTAACATCGCATTTCGTTTATGCAAATTTAATCATTTTTAGTGCTCTGTAATTATAACTGTATATTTAATCAAATTTGCACACATCTACTACATAATTATTTTTGGGATTTGTATTTGGCATATTCTCAACACATTTTGTTCAATTTTGAGCAAGTAATCATTATAATTTTTCGCTGACGTTATTATTGCTCTCATTCCAAAGTAAATATTTTAATCCAATAATTAAATATCATAAAAAGAACTTTTAGCATCGAATAATACGTTATTTGAATGCTTACGTGCATTGATTTCCAACATTACTTTTACATTTAAATGACAATAACTCATTATTACTTTAAATAAGTGTGTTTTATTTAACTTCCCAAATACTTTCCGAAAATATTTTTGATTGTTTTGTTGAAGCAAAATTAGAAATAATTTTGAATTTGTATAAATAACTGCAATATTGGAATGCAAAAATTGCTTTTTGCGGCTTTGAAAAAAAATAAAAAATTAAATTAAATTAAAAAATTTTAGAAACAAAGCTTTATGTTTGGAATTTGATTATTTAAAAGATTTATTTATTTTTGCTCAATTTTATGTTTTTTTAATTTCGCGCACACAAATGATGTTCATATATTATTTCTTTATCACAAATTAGATGAGAATTTATGCAATCAAAAGGTTTACCATAACTGTAATTTTATCATTATTAGCTTCTCAAAATCCAATTGTAATAAAAAATAGGTTTGTATTTAATTATTAATTATGGATAATATAATATCTTAAATCGTTCATTTGGATATATATGTTATTAATTATGGATAATATAATATCTTAAATCGTTCATTTGAATGTATATGTATATGCTTAATAGTAATTGATATTTTTTTTAATGCTTTAAATTGATAACATTGTTGTTTTGAAGTTTGAATACTTATTAATCTAGCACAGAAAGCATGTATATATTCATATTCAAATGTTTTAGATTTTTTAGTTTAAATTATTTTTCAACAAAAAATAAATTATTTTTTAATCTTTTATATAACTCGATAAATATGGCATCACTAATTTTTATTCGATTTTTGATTAATGATTTAGAATTTTTTTAATTTTGTCGGTATTTGAAGTTTTATTTTTGAACAAATAATTTTCAATGAGTAAATTTTATTTTAGCGTTTGGCAAAATCTACAGTACACGTGTCGATTCAGTAAACAATGTAATATTGACAAGGATCATCGTAATGCTTGTAGATATTGCCGTTTTCAGAAATGTTTAGCAGATGGAATGAAACCTGAAGGTTGATTACTTTACTTATTTTATTTTTATTTTAGTTATCTAATTTTGGAATTCATTTTTTACTTTTTTTGTGATTTTCATATTTTTTAATATTGTATTGGTTTAGTCTTCCTTTTGATCTGCAATTAAAAAAATACAAAATGAAAGTTATTTATTATTCTTAGAAAT